GAAGGTCTCCAGAGGGTTCCCGTAAAAAGTTCCTTAGAAAGTTTCCAGAAGGTCTCCAGAAAATCTCCAGAAAGTTCCCCAGAAGGTCCCTGGAAGGTCTTCAGAAGTTTCCCGGGAGGTTCCCAGAAAATCTCCAGAGGGTCATTAGAAGGTTTCCAGAATGTTCCCAGGAGATCCCCAGATGGTCGTTAGAAGATTCCCAGAGTTCTCCCGAAGGTTCCCCAGAACAACTCCGCGTCTCCAGAAGATTCCCAGAGTTTTCCAGAAGATTCCCAGAGTTCTCCCAAAGGTCCCCAGAACAACTCCGTGTCTCCAGAAGATTCCCAGAGTTCTCCTGAAGGTCCCCAGAACAACTCCGGGTCTCCAGAAGATTCCCAGAGTTCTCCAGAAGATTCCCAGAGTTCTCCAGAAGGTCTCCAAGCGCTCCGGATGATCCTCCCCGTGACTCCTTCCCGAACTCCCCACCCCTTTTCCACTTCCCCCCCTCCTCCCCCACCAGCCGCTCCCCAGCCCAGTGGTCCCGGCGGGGGGTGACCCCCCCTGGAAGGGGGTGTCCACCCTCTCCAAGGGTTTTCCAAGCCCATCCCATGGGTTGGTACCTTCTTGGCCCCGGTCAGAGCTGCCTTCTGGAGCTTGTTGTAGCAGTACTTGGCGTAAGTGCTGATGGCCACCCCTGCAAGAGAACACCGGGGGGGGTGGGATGTCACCTCCGGGCCCTGGAGGGGCTCCTGTCCCCTCCTTGTCTCCCCCCAACCCCGGATGTCCATCCCCATCCCCATTCCCAGGGGGTTTGAGGAGGACGAGGTCCCCCCTTGGATCCTTCTGGTGGCCCCACCCCTCCCGAGAACCTCGGAGGAGCCGCCCAACGCGGAGTTCCGGAGCTCCCTCAGCTCCGTGGGGGCCCCAGCCAGGGATGTCCCGGGTTTTGAGGGGGGGTCACCACTTCCACTGTCACCTCCCTCCCCCAATACCATCCCTCTCCTGCCGATCCCACCCTCATCCCCCTCCTCATCCATCCCCTCCTCCTGACGGCCTTCAACGAGGAGATGAGACCTCAACCCCTTCCCAGAAGGAGACCTGGGGACCTGGTGGCACCTTCTGGACCTTTCCATAGTCCTGGGGACCTCACAGAACCTTCTGGACCTTTCCATAGCCCTGGGACCTGGTGGAACCTTCTGGACCCTTCCCACAGCCCTGGGGACCTGGTGGAACCTTCTGGACCATTCCCACAGCCCTGGGGACCTGGTGGAACCT